AAACAGATTTGACTTCGTAGTTAATTAATTAATATTTTAACTACTGCATTTAAAGCCCATGGAAATTCTGTGGAAGATTTTATAAATGGTTAGAAATTGTGTTTCCTAGTTTTTAAAGTTTGCAAGATGAGAGGTTTTATAGGTTTTATAGGTTCTACTATATACTTCTCTAGGTTTTCAGAAATAAAAAGCACATTGCATTATAGCTATTTCATAACAATCCATTTTCAAATGCTCTATATAGAATGATTCTTTTATTATAATTATTTTTGGCTCTTTTAATTTAAGGGGCCAGCTCAAGTGTTTATGTTTCTCTAGGCAGCAGACTACTGACAGGCATTTATCATGGACTAGAGAGACACATTTGAACACACACCCTTTTAAATAAAATAAACACCAGTATCAATATTAAACATCTTTAATTTTTCTGAAAAATGACTTGTCATAAAATAATTGGTAAATCTTTATGTGGTACAAAAGAGAGCCACAGTCACTTCTCATCTCCAAAGTGCCATGAGGTTTCTGCACTTTTGTTGTACACTTTTGTTTCTATAAATGAACCATATTCAAAACATTCTGCAGAACTTTGTAAACTTCTGGCAACTATTTATTTGCTGCAGTAACTTGCCTATAATAATACTGGGAATATATTTCGTATGTAGATGCATCTCCCTAAGCTTCCTTGAGGATCACTTTTTAAAATTCTAGACAATGCAGCTGCTATAAAGTAGTTGTACTTATTCACTTTATCTATAAAGCAATGCTTTCACCTAAGGAAGTCATTAAAGAAGAGGATAATGGCTTCTTCAATGCATTAAACTTTTTTCATGGGTTTCATTATTAAAACACAATCTCACAAATATAATAACATATATGTCAAGAAAAAACTGAACTCTATGCAACTTTATAGAAAATCTCCCTCACTGGAGTCACTTGTTCATTCAAATAATGACAATAGCTAACATTTATTTTGTGCCTACTAAGTGTCTATGGATGTTTCATATATTAGCATGTTGAAATCTTCTGCATTTTTTATAACAACTTCCGAGAGTATTTTCAGAAAAAGAAATGGTTTTAATTTGTCAGCACATTACTTCTTTGTATTAACGTCCATTTTTAGGAAGAGTCAGTTTACTCAGTAACATGTCGTTTTTTCTTTATCACTGTCAAAAAAAACCCAAAAAACCTCAAAAGCGTTAATGTCGACTTCAGTAAATTTTAAATGTAATGAAATAGTGGCTTGAGTATAACATATTTATAAGCAGTACTAAAAAACTATAGACAATTGTTTTCATATTTTTGTTGCTTAGCTTTAAAATAGATTATTAATCACCATGGCTTCATTTTCTCAGTTGTTAATATGACATAATACATTATAAAAATATGGTAAAGTTCTGAGTATTCGTAAATCTTCATTTCAATCTTGGTAATTTCAAATTTTTGGCTGACATCTTGAAGGGCATGATTCATCATCTTTTTTTCTCTCTCTCTTCCTAATATGGCTGATGGAGCAATACTAGAAGTGTGAAAATTGTCAGTTCTACTTTTTAAAATATCACTCAGTTGTCCTTTGCTTTTATCATAAGTACAATATTTTAATAAATTTACTTACTGAAGTATGAAATGCTTTTAGAAAAATGCACAAATAATAAGAACAGCTCAATGACTTGATACAATTGAATGCACCTATGTAACTACTACTCAGATCTGAAAATAGAATATTAACACCCCCCCCCCAGCTTCCTCATGCTAAACCCAGTCACATTTCCAACCCCTCTTCCCCAAAGCCACCTGCTGTTCTAATTTCTAATATCATAATTAGTTCTCTTTCTAGTTTGGAAACCTTTGTAAGTTGAATCATAGAGTATATTCTCTTTTGTATCTGGCTTTTTTCTTTTTAACCATAATTTTATAGAATATTCCATTGTATGAATACACAAAAATTTATTTATTTACTCTGCTATTGAAGAACATTTGATCTGTTCCTATTTTTTTATCTATTATAAATAATGCTGCTATGAATATCCCTGTACACATCACTTAGTGCATACATTTTTCTTTCAGGTGTATATATGCCTATGTTTTTGTAGGCATGTTAATTTTTGAGTCATAGGGTACGTGTGTGGCCAACTTTACCAAAGTTGCTAAGATGTGGTACTGTCAGTCTTTTTATTTAACCATTCTAGTGATTCTATAATATTATCTTGCTGTGGTTTTAATTTATATTTCCCAGGTAACTAATGTGATTAAATAGCTTTTCAATGTTATATTGGTAACTGTGAAGTACCTATTTTGTGAAGTAATTTCAGATGTTTGCCTATCTTCTCTATAGTGCTATCTGTATTTTTGTTATTGATTGGTAGAAGTTCTTTATATATTATGAATACAAGATCTTTTCAGTATCCTTTATCTGTTTTTTTCAAATAGTCTCCCCTACTCTGTGGCTTTCCTTTTCACTCTCTTAATGCTGTCTTTAGTAATATAACCTTTAATCAACAGGTTGAGTTTTTAAATTTTTTAATTTTGAAAAATACTTTTCAAAATATTTGTGAGATTTGGTTTTGTTTGAATTAGAAAATACAATTTTCAAACACCTTGACCAGGCTCATCGAATCTGCAGTACAGTGCAACTTCCTGAAATCTAGCCCTGGGATTATATAAACACTGTGTTCTCAGCAGTGGCCCAGGCAGGGGCCCAGGCTTAGCAGTCTCCAGAAGCAAAATCAAGAGTGAGTGGCCAAAACTGCCCTATGATTTAACAGTGATCATCAACAGTTGCTAACTTTATTAAAAACAAACCACCACCACCAACAAAAAATGTTATATATGTCAAGATAAAAAATAAATAGCACTGTTTATGGAGTAGTCTTCCAAAAAAATTAAATCTAAACCTATCAAGCTTCAAGATTTAACTACTGCCCAGCTGAGTGGCTCTGTGGATTGAGCATCGTCCCATGCGACAAAGGGTTGCTGGTTTGATTCCCAGTCAGGGCACATGCTCAGTTTGCAGGCTCAATCCCCAGTGGGGGGTGTGCAGGAGATAGCCAATCGATATTTCTCTCTCATCAACGTTTCTATCTCTCCCACACTCTCCTTTCTCTCTCTCTAAAATCAATAAAAACATATTAGAAAAAGATTTAACTATCAATTCAGGAAAACAAGTGGAACACCTAAAGGGGAGCCCACTCACAGGCAAAACAATCCTAGAATATATGTACAATGTGAGGCTATAGTTTCTTAAATCATCTCACCTGCCTAAAGTTAAGGTTGGTGGTTAGTACTCAGCCAGGATCACATGGATAGATCCCCTATGGTCTCAGAGGAGGAGAGTTTCAGTCTTGACTCTACTCCAGAAGCTCTAGTTTGGACAGTGTTGCAGGGAGGGGAGTGGGAAGCTTAGGAAGTGAGGTTGCAATCTAACAGCAAGGCTGAGCACTTGAATAACAGACTACATGGTGTGTTCAAAGTCAACGCTGAGGATCATGAGCGGTACCTCGAAGAACCAGACTGACATCTGAACAGGTGACACAGCACTCAAGAGGCCCTGTGCTGTAGACCAGAAACAATCTGCCCTGCACACCGAGAGCCTCTGAAAGCCCTAAGGGACAGTCGCAGGGCAGCTCCTCTGATGTAAGGCACTCATAGGCGAGAAAGCTGTTTCTCACATGGGCAGCTCTGTGTTGTCTGCTCTAGGATGTGGAATGTGGAGACGTTTATTTAATGATGATCCATGTTTCTCCCAAAGAACTGCAGGGAAATCAGCTAGCTAGGATGGGCTTTTCTTGAAGATTTTTGGGCATTAAGCCTCCAAGCATTCATCAAACTACATACATTCATCAAACTACATAAATTCATCAGCAGATCCAGTCATTTAGATCTGGACCGTCCTGGAAGGATTTGTTGGTAGACAGTAACACAGACCAGATTCTCCAATGTGGCCAAGCTCGCCATCCATCATGGCATTTGCTCTTGGTTAATTATAGGAGAATAAAGAGAGAAGAGAAGGATGTTTGGATCCAGGGGCCTTTTCCACCTATATATGACATTCCACTTAGTAACCAAAAATTTAGAAATATCATTTCTCTTTTGATGTTTTTGTCATGCATGTCTAAAGTATCGGATTGAGAGGAAATTAATTTTATGCTATATAATTTGTACTGGAAGTGGAGAGATCTTAAATTCATACTGAGAGAATATTGCATATGAAGTAGAGTTGACATGTACACACAAACACACATACATACATAACATTTGAAATTCTGCAGAAAATGCTTCAACTCACACATTACTTTGAAGAGAGAGAAATTCAGTGAAAAAAAAGAGTAAAATTGATGATGAGGGATATTTAAGAGCTGAGTGTTATTGATATGATCTTTATAATACCAAAATCTAGCCCCGGGATTATATAAACACTTTAACTACATTACAATCTCTACACAAGGACATAGTCTGTCATTCCTGTCAAGTTGAAACTCAGCAGATGGAGAAACGATGAGAGTCAATGCTAATAAACCGAACTCAAGTACAAAAGGATTAAACAACATCTTCAAAGGCAAATCAGACTGGAGTCTAGGCTACAGGCTCACCATTTTCAGACCTATGTTCAGATTTCTTTAATTATTTGCCGTTTTATTCATCCCTCTATATTCATCTTGATCTCCTAATGTAGTGTTACATTGTCCTTATGGTAATTAGAGGGCCTATTCCAGTTTCTGAAAACTAGAAAAATATGAGTAGGGGAAACTGAAGAACCAAAATAGAATAAAAACAATGCATCTGTCCTTGAGGTTTTTTCACACATCAGAGGAAAAGCAAAACAGTAGAACAAAACACAGAAAGGAACTTGCAAAACAATAATAACAATATGGTAACTAATTGTTCAGGTGGTGTTTGATTTAAAATATCATGGCGCTCTTGCTTTAAAAAGTGGGTTGTAAACAAATGCTTTCTCAAGCACGGGGAGGTTGTGTATTTTAGTAGTGATTTTATATTGCCACCAGATGGCAGTGTTCTCTGGCTCTTCACAGCTACCTTCCAGAGCCCGCTCCTCGCGGCTGACAAAGCAGCGGCATTATGTCTATGTACTGGTTTTGAATATGGGAAATCTGCCAGGACACTGTGGCTCTGGGATTAAACGTCTCTCATTTGAAAAGAGACTTCCATGGGCAGAGGTTTTTATTTTCTCAAGTCACCCATTTATCATCCGGACCAAGGCTATTTACATAAACTGCGGGCTCAAGTTGAGCGTCTCAGGATCGCAGTGGGCACCTTTGCTTGCTGTTCAGGACTCCAAGCCGGTAACTGCACTAGCGAATGTTTTGGATCATTGTTTTTCTTAAAGCAGAGCCGAGTGAGAAGTGTTCACATGCCACCCGTATCTCTAGTATTCCCATCTAACCTCAACTCCTAGAGTGTTTACTTCAAACATTTTCATCTTCCTGGCAAGGAACTATGTAAATACATTCAATTTTTTACCTTTCTGATACATATGTCCTTGAGATACTTTTGGCTAATGTGTTAGGTTTGAGAATTTTACTCTCTAACTGTATGTGCACAAATATATCATAAACTAAGTCCAGAATAAAAGGCTTATCTCAACGACCAGTGACATTTGCATTCAGGAATAATAAGCAATTGAGAATTCCTCCTCACCCTAGTGCTAGAAAACCTCAACGCATTTTCCAAACTATTTTTAATTTGTACTTCTAACAAATGTATATCCCTGATATGGGTCAGTATTAGTGGATTACTTTTCCGATGCAGGAATTCACACAATACTAGATGCTATCTTTACCTTATACAGGGAATAAGCTGCGAACATTCTCACAGGTCACCCCTCCAACCTGTCCTTCCTAAGACCATTTACGCTCTCCTAAGAGGCCTATCTCTCCCACCCCTTTCCCTATTAAGATGGTAGTTAAGTCCAAGTTCTAAAGCTACCTCTTTGGGTTACTCAGTTTTCCTGGGTATCTCCAGCATACACTTGGTTCTACATGTTAATAAAATTTCTTCTTTCCCCCTGTTAATCTGCCCTTAATTATAGGGGTGTCAGCCTACAACTCATAGGGATAAAAGGAAAATTGTTTTTTCCCTACATTACTCATACCTAACAGAGGAAAGCACAAACTATTGAACAGAACTATGAGCAACTTAACCCTGTCCTAGATTCTCAACTTCATCCCTCACCCTCACTCCACACAATGCTGTATGCTGCGAATCTAGAGAATTTAACCTATTTTTCATATGCATTATACAAAACAAGTGTTCGAATTCAGTATACATCTAAGTTAAAAAAAATACTCATTATCCAGAACTAAATTCACAGTCATTCACAGAGAATGGGACTGTAACACAGTTGCCCAAAAATGTAGTGTATGTGAATATAATCATGCGCAAAAAGCAAAATTTTCTACAGATGAGGAATTGGAGACCAAATTATTTAGATAAACAACACATAAGGAGAGCTGGTAGTATTGTCCATGCTAATTGAAAAGTTCTGTCCTATTTCAATAGCAAAGAGTCATCCATTTTTCATATAAAAGTAGAGTGTTCAATTTAACTTCTCCACTTAAAATTCCTCTATCACTCTTATTCTATAGCCCAAAGGATAAATTCCAGACTAAATTCTGTGACCTTTAAGATATTCGCAACCCAATTTCATGCCTCTCCTTCTATGCTCTGCTCTGTAATTCTCTGAGTATGCCCTGACTGCTTATTGTCAAGTCTATATAGTGTGCTCATGGCAGTCTTTCTACTTGGTCACCTTTCCAATTTTCAGGGATTCCGCAATATATGTATGATGAATTAATTCATCAATTAAGTAACTCATAGTTGTTTTGTTGACTAGGCTGTTTCTAAAATATTCCAAAATGCCTGGGAAATACATCTATCTACTCTTCCTTGGGAGTCCCTGGAATGCTTGTGTATTATATTAGTTTCCTAGGACTGCTGAAGCAAATTCTCACAAACTGGTTAGCTTAACACAGCAGAAATCTATTCTACAAAAGTTCTGGGGATCAGAAGTTGAAATCAAATTGTCGGCCGGGCCATGTTCCCCTCAGAGCCTCTAGGGGAGAACTTTTTGCCTCTTCCAGCTTCTGGTGGCTGTTGACAGTTCCTTGGTGTTCCTTGCCTCATGGCTGCATCATTCCAATTCCCACCTCCGTCTCCATGATGCCTTTTTCTCTGTGCTTTCCCCTGTGTGTCTAAACTCCCTCACTTTCTCTCTTATAAGATATGTATAATGGCATTTAGGGTCCATTATAGTTCATCCAGAATAAACTCCTCCTCTCATGATCTTTAACTTAATCACATCATCACCTTACAGGGAAATATTCCTTCTTTTGCCATATAAAGTGCCATATCAGGTGTGTGAGATGCAGACATCTTTTTAGGAGCCACATGCAGCCCATCACACCTGAGAGCAAATAATCCTATGAGAACATGAAATTCAAACTGAGGTCAGGGTTCCTATCACCAACACAATATTTTCTTGGTTAGACCTTAGCCCAGACATTTCTATAGCCCTGAAATAGAAACTTTACAAATATTACCCAGGTAGATTGCTATTGCTAAGTGATCTCCAAATAAACCAACACCTCCCAGAGAACAAAATGATGCAGGAGACAGAAGTGATAAAAGGGTAACTCAGGAGATAGATTTGGTCAATGCACGGTGGTCCTGCAGATTGGCTAGGCCTGTGCTGTGAGCAATTAGGGACAGAGATCTCAAACACATGCTATCCAGAGAGAAGCCTGTGGAAGACGGATCCAAAAGGTGGGTATGAAGTTCATGATGAAAAATCAATTTTCACTTTCTAGGAACAAAGACAGTGAGTGTGAACAACTGTGGGACAAAAATAAATCAAAATTAATTCCACTTACCTCCGGGAGTGAATAAAAAAAAGAAGAACCAGGCAATGGAGGGAAGAGGTGGCCTGTGAAACAGGGGGAGTCTGGGAGGCCTACTTAATGCTGGAAACCTAAAAAATTGTTCCAAACATATAAACTAAAATGAGGTTTTATATGACTCTGCAATCTGCCACTTTACCTATACTCTCATACTCTAAGATTCCATTATACAGATGGTTAAAAAAACTGAAGGCCTCTCATTCAGCTGGTGTGCATTTGTACTGAGCAGACCAGCGATGGTTCTCAAGTAAGGCATGCTATCAATGGCCAGGGCTCATGTTGAATTTCTCCAGGATCATTTCTGACTGTATGAATGGGCATGTGAAGGCAGGGTTGGAGAAAGAGCCAGTGGAGAAGGGATCACAGGACGTTGAGCCAGAGATTGTCTCCTGATTCCTCCAGAGGAAGAAATAGGAAAATAATTAGAGCTTTGGCAACAGGAAAGTAATTAGGGTTTTCTTTTTTCCTGCTTTATGGAGTTGTCTTTTGTTTTTTTTTTAAGTAGGTGGAAATAGTTTATTACAAAAACCATCTAAAGGGGAAGAGATTAAAATGTACGAATTATCAGTTACACAAAGTCATGGAATGGAAAGTACAGTCTAGGGAATATAGTCAATAATATTGTAATAAGTATATATGGTATCATATCAGTACTAGACTTATCAGGAGATTATTTTATATCTTATATAATAAAAGTGTAATATGCTAAATGTCCGACTGCTTGACCAGTTGCTATGATGTGCACTGACCTGGGGGCAGACGCTCTGACCGGTAGGTTAGCTTGCTGCCGGGTCCGCCTAATCAGGACTGGGCAAGAGGGCCAGACACACCCTAGAACCTTTCCACAGTCCCTCCCCAGCTGGCCAGCCCCCATCAACCCCGACCAGAACTGGGCAAGATGGCCCTGACTGGCCCCAATCACCAGCCAGGCCAAGGGACCCCACCCATGCACGAATTCGTGCACCGGGCCTCTACTTACTATATAATCACTATATTGTATATCTTAAACTAATATAAAATTGTATGTCAACTTTAATTGAAAAATATAAAAGGATGTTTAAAAGGCCATCTACAATAATTTAAAAACCCATGAAATTAGATATGGAAATTCAAACACCTTCAGAGCCCATGAAGCAGTGACTATAGAAAAAAAAAGAAAGAATTTTATCTGTGATTGACTTCAGACTTGAAGTTACCAGTTTATGGTCCCTGATTAATAAGACATCTTGTCAGACAAACACTACTGAAGATTGGATTGCTCTAGTGGATTTGAACATTGCTAACAGTCTTTATTGGATATAAAATTCAAACTGTTTGTAACCATAGGTTAGTAATAGAAAAAGAAATAGAACAAAAATGATTAATAAAGTGATTTTAATCAAAGTCAATTGCCTAATAAATCTAATTAATTCTCCCAAAAGTTTTTCTTCATTGGCCTAAAATTTCCTAATGTCATTAAAATAATGACCCTATGTAAGGCCAGCCTCATTTCACTGAGTTGCTGTTGAAAGATATGAGAGCACAAACATCTTGACCATTTTTCCTTTGCTATCTGCAAAGAAAGCTAGTCTGTGGTTACACATGGTTGTGGAGAAGGGATATTTGTCTCTGTTGACTAGGAGGACTTCCAACGAGTTATCAATGTGAATCTCATAGGAACCTTCAATGTGATCCGCCTTGTGGCTGGTGAGATGGGCCAGAATGAACCAGACCAGGAAGGCCAACGTGGGATCATCATTAACACCGCCAGCGTGGCTGCTTATGAGGGCCAGGTGTGTGAGCAGGGGCAAGGCTTGTGCCTCCTCAGTGACCTGTTGGGGGCCCTCCCACCTATGACCTTCACTCTTTCTCCAGGTTGGACAAGCTGCATACTCTGCTTCCAAGGGGGGCATAGTGGGCATGACACTGCCCATTGCTCGGGATTTGGCTCCCATGGGCATCCGGGTGATAACCATTGCTCCAGGTAAACCTATCCCCTCCCTGCCACACCTGGGATTGGGTGGGATCCATGGGCAATTGAGAGGGAAGAATAGCAGCAGCAGCATCCGTCCATCCCTGGGCATAGGGAAGCACTACAAGTAGGGCTGGGGGGGTGGGACAGGGTAAACATGAAAGCAAGGGCGGGCCTCTGACTCTGTCTTGTCTAGGTCTGTTTGGCACCCCACTGCTGACCAGCCTCCCAGAGAAAGTGCGCAACTTCCTGGCCAGCCAGGTGCCCTTCCCCAGCCGACTGGGCCACCCTGCTGAGTATGCTCATCTGGTACAGTCCATCATCGAGAACCCATTCATCAATGGAGAGGTCATCCGGCTGGATGGGGCCATCCGCATGCAGCCTTGAAGGGAGGGGGCAGACGAAACACACTCTCTTCCACCCGTCCTTCCCCTGGCATACTATACTCCAGCTTGGGAGGAAGCCTGGTAGCCATTTTGTAACTCTGCCCACTAATCACCTTCTGTGCCTAATAAAGTCTATTTCTTACAGGAAAAAAAAAATATACATACAGTGGAATATTATGCATTCTTAAAAAGAAATGAAATTCTGACATAGACACTATGCCAAGTGAAATAACTCATATACAAAAGGACAAATACTGAATGCTTTCACTTATATAACGTACCCAGAGTAGCCAAATTAAAAAAACAGAAAGTAGAATGGTAGCTGTCATGGTTTGGCAAAGAGTGGAAATGGGAGGTCACTGTTTAATGGATACAAGTTTTAGTTTGGGAGGATGGAAAGTTCCAGAGATGGATGGTGATGATGGTTGAACAACAATGTAAATGTACTCAATGCCATTAAACTGTACATTTAAAAGTTGATTAAAATGGTAAGTATACATCATATATATTTACCTCAAAAAAGATAGGAATTTTTCTTCCTGAGCTTTACAAAAATAATTTACTAAAATAATCTGAAATAATAAAAGCATAATATGCTAATTAGACCAGACAGCCAAACATCCTTCTTGACGTCTTTCTGGACAAAGCCGTGGCAGCTGCGAGGGCTGAGGGCAGGCAGCCATGGTGGCCGGCGGCAGCAGTAGCAGTGGCGGAATGATGGGGGCAGCACCTTTTCCTGATCGGCCCGGTCACCTCCCACAGAGGGAGTGGGACTAAGCCATCAGTAGGACATCTCCTGAGAGCTCCCAGACTGTAAGAGGGGGCAGGCCGGGCTGAGGGATGCCCCTTCCCACAGTGCACAAATTTTCATGCACCGGGCCTCTAGTTATATAAAAGAGAAAATTTTCTTAGAAATATTATACAAAATGTGTAAAGATGAATTATTAAAGAAAGGATAGAGAGAAAGTGTGCTATTCTCTTGATTCTTCAGCATGCCAAGTGGTCCAGGGAAGATTGAAAGGCAAGAAGCACCACTGGGTGACTGTCTTCTGCAGATTAAAATGATGATGTCTCAGCTCCACTGATAGTTTTGCATTAGAGCCTCTCAATTTCAAGTTATAACTTGACTGCTAATCATTTGGGCAACAAACATTCCAGATACGAAGTCTAGGGCTGAGAAAATGTTGTCACCCTCAATGTTTCTCCCTCCCAAAGCCAAATTAAATGAAAAAGTCTGCTTGACCTATAGAAAATAATGGATGTGAATGGAATAAAAGAAAGAAGTTCATGTTAGAAATATGCTTGGAGCTTATGAGGAGTTAAAGAATGAGATGCCTGAAAAAATAGTAGGACAGAGTGGTAATGTCCAGAGGATGCACTATTCCACTCTTAAATGTAATAGGAATGGAGTATAAAACGTTTCTTAAGATATAGTTTCTTAAGAAATATATACAAGGGTTTCTTTGTTGCTATGGTATTAGCGTTGTGGGCAGATACTGAAGTCAAACAAAATTACAGACATATTATTGTGCCCAGGGAACTAGACATATGTGTGACGATGAAGATGATGATTAAATCAACTTTTTTCCAGAAATCTTAATTCACATTTCTCAGGTTCACAGTGCATCACAAAGCAAATCTTATATTTAGAGTAAGTTCTGTTAAGTAATGTGTAAAAAAAAGTCTATGTTTTTCCACTATTATTCTAGTTATTTCTGATTTATGCCTGCTGCCTACAGGTGTTTCCTTAGGTAAGGGAACAATAGCCTATAGGTTTTACTTCCAACAATATAACATGTTACTCTATAAAAATTTCTTTTGGCCCAAAAAGAAACAAACAGTATATATAAACAACTGAGATCTGAAAATAAAACCATTATTAAATCATTGAAATTGACCAACTTTCCAATATCTGATATCAGGTACAATGATCAAAATTGCTACTAGAACAGATGGTTTATTGACTGCTCCAGGCAACTATTCTCCAATAAATTATAGAAGCTGCAAAATGTCTTTATTGGGTTTGCCAGAATTGTCTGGACCCTTAGGTCAGGAGGTTAAAGAGAGGTTGATCCTCTGAAAATTTTCACTGGAAATAAAGTTTCTCTTTAGTAGTCTCTTCTTGCTCACTCTCTCTCCTTCAATTCTCCCAACCCCTTTATCATTCTTATGTTACCCCATATCCTTCATATTATTTCAAATATACAACTAAAAAGTAAGAGAGTTAAAACACTAAAAGAGAAATGAAACACAATGCAATGTATGTTGATAGCTTCTGAGCTTTAGAGATATTTATATATGTAAGTCTAATATGCAAATTGTCCTTGCAGGAGTTTGACCTGGAGACCAATCACTCGGTATGATGTGCGCTGACCACCAGGGGGTGGTGTGGAATGAAGGAAGGCCCCGGCCGGCAGCCAGAAGGCCCCTATCAGCCCTGATCGCTGGCCAGGCCTAGCGACCCTATCCATACAAGAATTTTCATGCACCGGACCTCTAGTCAAAACAGAATGCTCTAACTTTACAAGGCAATCAACCAAGGTGATAAAAATAGCATTCTCACACAATCTAACTTAGGAGAGCTTAAATTATTTCCCAACCCTTATGGAAAGTAATTTGGAAATATATCTCAAGGACTTAAATATTACTATAGCCTTGACCAATAATTCTACTGGTGGAAAATCTGCCTAAGTAACACATTTTAAATATAAAATGTTTTACAGAGAATATTAGAAACAACCATTAACATGACAATCAAAATCCCAAGTAAAGCAGAATAACTAGAGATATTGTGTTTAACCCATAAGGTAGATTTTAAAAGCCATCTAAAATGGCTTTTAAAATAAAAATATAATCTTTAACACATAAATATATTTATGCTATAGAGAAAAGCAAATAACAGTATAGGAAATACATAATGTATTTCTTCTATCAAACTATAAGTGCTGATCTAGTGGTATAAACATAATATATTAGTATTTTACTCTGTGGGTGGGTTTGGGTCCAATTCCAATTCAAGATATTGAACTATATTACTTGAAGGAAAAATAATAACTTCTTGATTAGACAGATTCTCTTATATTTGTAAACATGGATAGAATTCTCAAAGATTGTTCATATTACTGGAATAGGGTTTAAAAGCATAATATACCTAATGCTGATATGTATACTTAGAATATTGAAACTATTTGTTTCAAACTCAGTTGATATCCAGCTATTTCTCTATTTTTCACAAGTTATTATTTTATTCCCTTCTTTTTCAAGCAATAATATTTTATTAAATACTAGAGGCCTGGTGTACGAGATTTGTGCACTCAGGGGGAGGGTCCCTCAGCCCAGCCTGCACCCTCTCACAGTCTGGGAGCCCTCGGGGGACATCCTTAACGTTGGCACGGAGGCAGAGGCAGGAGAGGGTCCCACCACTGCCACTGCGCTCGCCAGCAGGGAGCCTAGCTCCTGTGGGAGTGCACTGACCACCAGGGGGCAGCTCCTGTGTTGAGCATCTGCCCCCTGGTAGTCAGTGTGCATCATAGCGACTGGTCGTTCCGCTATTCAGTTGATTTGCATATTTGCCTTTTATTATATAGGATCATTAGGTTTTTTCCTTTCTCTCTCTAACATCCACAAAATACTGCTTCTTTATCAGGGTCAAGATGTCAAGATAGCTGCTGAGGCTCCAGCAATCACAGTCAGTGCAATGCCTGACCTTCAACCTCCCTTTGAGATATTTCTTGGAATTTACATATATCATTTCATGCTTATGTTTAATTTGTTATAACTTTGTCATATAGCCAACCTAGCTGCAAGGGAGGTTAGGAAAGATAGTGTTGCACTGGTAGCCATACCCTAAAAATCAGGGATTCTATATTACAAAGGAGAAGGGACACAAGAATAATTAGAAAACAATTGTCAATCTGCCACATAGCTATTACTCTTCATTATATTGCCATAGTACCTACTGCTTGAACAAAATAGGTATACAAAAAATATTTGACTAATTGTATTTTTAAAATTTAATTCAACTGATGTAAGATTATTCAATTACAAATTTGGGAATATAATCTAGAAATGTCAATTCTAGTTTTTATTTATGTAATAAATCAAAGATGTGCTAAGAGACTTTAACAACAGGAATACACTACTTATTAAAACATTTTAATACTACAAAATTGAAAATCACAAATGACCAACAATATAATATAGTATATCCAAAAATTATAATACTATGTATAAAAATGTTGGCTTTATATTAAATGAATTAAATTGATTACAAATCAGATTGAGCACAGAGAAAAAGAACTGAAAGAAGATTTATCAGAATTATTAAGGTAATTAGCTAAATATTGAATTACAGGCAAGTTTATGTTTCTGCTTATTTATCTCTTTTTCAAAATATTTTTTCTACAACAGCATTTATGCACAAAAAACAATTCCATTGAAGTTATTTTTATATCATACCGGGATAAATAATATCAGCATCAAAAGAGCATAGTGCTCATAATTCATACTGAATATCTTTTATGCTCCGGTCAAGTGATAATGAAGAGACACAAGAAAACCCCATCTTATTTTTTCTTTATTATGTGTTTCCCCACTTTCCTCACATTCTCTCTTAGACATTTCTTTTTATACACAATACACATATCCGTACTATTATATACTTGTACAGAAAACAAGCAAGCTATAAATGAAGAAAAAAATAAAGAAAATAAACTTCCAGGGGAACCAAATCAACTCTTAAAAAACTGAAAACAATCTCACAAAAAAATGCCACATTATGAAGAGAGCACATACAAAAAGAGACGATGTTTCTGCAAGCGTTTCCTACAATTAGCAAAACTGTGAGTTGGGATCTGCTGGTAGACTATAGTCTCTCTTAGGTAGGTTGCATTTACTTGGATTTATTCACTTGAAGAGTCAGCTTTACCAACATACATATCAAGATTTGATGGTCGAATGGAGGTATTATACAGAGTCACCAAAATGTGAATAAGGTTATCTTGTTAAAGTCACAATTTCTCAGAAACTCAATTTCCATTTTAACCTATACTAATATAATAATGTACTCTTCAGATGCTTTACTGAATTAAAATTTAATATTCACACCTCAAATTATTCATACCTCAAATTATTTCATAATGAAAGCAGCCCTGGAT